ATGTTTGTCCTTGATGAAGCCGACGAAATGTTGTCTCGCGGTTTTAAAGAACAAATCTATGATGTTTTCCAACTTCTTCCTCCTAGCACTCAAGTAGTTCTTTTGTCGGCCACGATGCCAGCTGATGTTTTGGAAGTAACTACTAAGTTTATGCGTGAGCCTGTCAGAATTTTGGTTAAACGAGATGAACTTACTTTGGAAGGTATTAAGGCAAGTACTCCTTTGCGAATTAACATATATGCATGCACTGGTGATGTTTAGTAGTAACCATATAATAGGTGTATATATTAAATGACATGTGTTCTTTATAATAGCAATTTTATATTGCAGTTGAAAAGGAAGATTGGAAGCTTGATACCCTTTGTGACCTTTATGAGACTGTTACCATCACTCAGGCCGTTATCTTTTGTAACACGCGAAGAAAAGTTGATTGGCTAACTGACAAGTTGCATGCTCGCGAATTTACGGTGTCTGCCATGCATGGTGATATGGACCAAGCTCAACGTGATGTTATCATGAAAGAGTTTCGTTCGGGTTCTTCTCGTGTTCTTATCACCACCGATCTTTTAGCTCGTGGTATAGACGTCCAACAAGTATCACTGGTATATATATTCGTTATTATCCTTAACGTATATAAAACGGATGGTTTACTAATGAATTTTCGCCTAACACCATTGATTAGGTCATTAATTATGATCTTCCTACAAATCGCGAAAATTACATTCACCGTATTGGTAGGGGTGGTCGGTTTGGTAGGAAAGGTGTCGCCATCAATTTCGTTACGGCAGAGGATGTTAGAATGCTTCGCGATATAGGTATGATTGTCCTCGTTAATTTGTATTCTGTTTGGCTATTTAATAAAAATTTTGCAATAATATTGATTTCGAATTGAATAAATAGAACAATTTTACAACACACAAATCGACGAAATGCCCATGAATGTGGCGGATTTGATTTAAAAAAGAAATTATATATATTTATCATACATTAATATAAGTAAAATTATTCCATGTTTGTCGTTATTTACACCTCAACAAAAAATCATTACCCTTAATTTTCATAAAATTAACTTCAAAGGAAAAAGACGTCGAAGGTGGTTTCCTACTAAAGAAATTCATTTATTTTTATTGGTGTCATTCAATCCTTTCGTTTTTTAGATAGCCTTAGGTTATTTTTTTTTTTACAAAAAAAAAAAATCCAAGATGATGTTCGACAATTTTTATTTTAGAAATGTGTTGAGCACCCAATCAATAAAAGAACAAATCATAAAAATTATTCACTCACAATATGCTTTATTGTGCATAAATTCGCTTTATGTACAAATTTATCTTGTACATATCAAAATTCGATTTTATTTTATCTTGGAAAAAAAAAACTCAATGGATAAAGCATTTGCACTTGTGTACATAATAATTCCTTGATTAATCTTGGAAATTTACAAGTAAGTTGTTTATTATAAAAAATTACTTGTTGTATAATGCATAATTTTACACACGGATAAGATTAAATGAAAGAGGTTGGACTTGTCATCATTTTTTTGTCCAAAAAATTTACAACATTTAAAAAACTAATGTGATTATGTTGCATTTACTATTTTGCTTAAAATTATTTCACTTTTTTTTTTTTTTCGATAATAAAATAAGCTACTAATTTAATCGACTTCTTCGATCGTTGGTCCAGATTCATCATTGGTATTAGCAGCACCTCCTGGGAAGCCTCCTGGAGCACCAGCACCTCCGAATCCACCAGGACCAGCACCTCCGGCACCGCCGGCACCATAGAATTTCATCATTATTGGATTAGCGACTTCCTCGAGTGACTTCTGTTTGTGTTCATATTCCTCCTTTTCTGCTTCTTGGTTGTTTTCAAGCCATGTGATGGCTTCTTGAATAGCATCTTCGAGTTTCTTTTTGTCTTCAGCATCAAGTTTGCCTGCAACCTTCTCGTCCTGCGATTATATAAAAAGTAAATACACATAGTCTAACTTCTTTTGCTAAATATATGCAAAAAAAAAAAAACATACCTGAAGTGTGTTTCGTAAGTTGTATGAATAACTCTCTAAACCATTTCGTGCTTGTATCTTCTGGGCAACCTTTTCATCTTCGGCACGGTACCTCTCGGCATCCGCAACTGTATAAATTCAGATAATCGTAAGGAGATCGATGGTACAACACTGATTAGCAAATAGCCGATTGAGGGAAAAAAACCTACCCATTCTCTCGATTTCTTCCTTCGATAATCGACCCTTGTCATTTGTGATGGTGATCTTACTGGATCGACCAGTAGTCTTATCAACGGCTGATACCTAATAAATTCAATAAAGAAAATGTAAAAAAAAAAATTTCCAAAAAAGGAATTTACAAAATAAAAAATAACAATAACAATCACATACATTAAGAATACCATTGGCATCAATATCAAAGGTAACTTCAATTTGAGGTACACCACGAGGTGCAGGTGGAATTCCAGTTAATTCGAATTTACCCAACAGATTATTATCCTTGGTACGAGCACGTTCTCCTTCGTATACT